GTGAGAATTTTACATGGAAAGTGACATACACTACAAAACGAGCAAAATATTTAATACTTGGTTTCAAAACTCTTCCGGTTTCGCAAGAATAATAACCTTTTTAAAATAACCAGTGAGAGTTAAAGTGAGAATGAATAACGAAAATTATCCAAACCAACCTTTAACAATTGATCCAGATACTAAAGATTTTAACAAATTATATAGAAACTATAAAATTATGAATGAGTTATTTGGAAATGTACCTCAGATTCAAAATGTCGATTTTGTTTTAAAATATCCAATATTTTGCTTTGATCTCTCCACCTATTTGTTCAAAACGGGTGTTTAGCTGTCCATATATATTGGAAAGACAGCAGGAGAAAAGGTCAAATATTGTTTATTACTAGAAGAGTCTCTTCATATCATAAATATAATGGATAGAACGATGAACAGAATTGAATAAAAAAATTATTTAAAAAAATGAAACCAGAAATTTTAGTTGAGAAAATATTAGAATCAATTGAAAGTGGCAAACCGAAAACAATTACTTATAGCGGTAAAAAGATACATATTTCAAAATCAATCATTGACAAATTAAAAAATTATAAAATTCAATTTTGATGAAATAGACGAACAAGCCAAAAAGTCTTCTCCTACCCTTAATTTTCGAGGGGTTAGTAGCCGCTGGGGCAATGGCAGGGGGAGTAAGCTCGACTGTTTCAGCAGCAAATAAGAAAAAGGCAGAAGACATCAAAGCCAGAAAAAAACGTAGACATAACTTAAAAATGGAAAAATTAGCCAAAGGTTCGGGCATAAAAGATATCTTATCAACCATCAAACAATTCAACCATGAAACCAAGAAAACAGTAAAAGAAGGTTTGTCTAAATTAATTGATCAAATCCGTGAAACGCAGATAGAAAACAAAGAAGGAAAGGGAATAATACTTTTAGACATTTGCACTGGTGATGGTTTATTTCTTTCTAAATATCGACAAGGAGACAGTGATATACCAAACCCCCACTAAAACTTAATTATTATTCAAAGTTCAAACAATCAGATTTCCACAAAGCCCAATGCTAATGTGCATCGTGCAATCAGGTTCCGGAAATAGTCACCTCTTATTTAACATGTTAAAAACTCCCGATTTATTAGATTTCAATTCCCTATACATATATACATCAACTCCAGATCAATTCTATTATCAATTTCTGAAAGCCTTAGAATATTTACCAAAACAAGACATAGGCCAAATATTCCAAATATATGAAAATGATAAGAACTACAAGAAAACAAGGTTAGGGAGCCCAAGCCCACCTTGTTCAGGGTTTAAATTTAAAGTGTCATTTTTGATGAGTTCAAAGTTATTATTCCATAGAATCCATTAGAAAATTGAAGATTTCATTTGTTTCAGTATGGACTTGGATAATGGGACAATTCTTGAGAAATAAGACTAATGATATATGTGTTAAGGACAATTAATTTTAGCCGTCTGTCAGTCCATCTTACAGTTATACTTAAAGTCTTAGTTGCTATAATGTCCCAGTTTTTCCCAGTCTGACCCTTACCAAACCAAATACCTAATAATTTGATGACATCACAAATCAAATGTTGATTTTGAACGGGTTTAAAGTTTCTGGAATTATTAATACATAATATTTCTGTTTTATCTACATTTAATTTAGACCCTGATACCTTACTAAATCTATCAAATTCCTGTAATATCAAGCCAAATGACTGTTTCGAAGTAGTAAAAAAAGATAAATCATCTACATGTTGAAAAATTTTAATTTCTCGACTTAAATTAGGGACTTTAATACCTTTAAAACCTTCATTGTTCTGAATTTAAATGTAATGCAATGGTAAATAGTGCATGCTTAGAGGACAGCAATAAATAAAATCATGATATAGTTGATCTCACTTTTGCCAAACGCTTTTTCCCGGTCAAAAGTAGAAAGATTAGAAGGAATGTTTTTCTGATTGATATACATGTAGAGAAATAGATAGAAGATTGTTGATAATAGTCTTGTCCTACCCCGTTCCAGTCTGAACATCATATAAAATAGAATTAATCACCCTCTTAAGTCTCTTAAGCCCAACGCAGACGAGGAACATTTCTGTCGATGAACAAAAACACCGAACAAATATATTTGTTTTCCGTTATCCGCAGACGACAAACATAATTCCGCAGACGACGAACATTTAGCTCAAACAATACGCCAGTGCAACAGGAAATCACAATGGCGACCTCCTGAAGAAAATGTAAAATTGCGTTATTGAAAAATATTGTAGCGTGTAACTGGATTTATTAATCTGGGGTTGGGGTTTTGCTATACAGCCCCAGAATCACGCAAAAATCTCTCCGTTAACGGGAGCAAGTGTCAGCTCAAAAGTGACTATAATCTATCCCAATTTACTCAATCAAAGAAACAAGTGTTTAAAACTTTATATATAAAAATATCAATTATCTACATTCAAATACAACAATACACTTTATGAAAAATGGTGTTAATAAAAATAAATGGGCGCTGCTACGAGACACAAATTGCATAACATGAATCACATAGCACAGTCCTATACACAAATTGAATTGGTCTAAAATAGGAACCACGAACCAAAGCACTGTCCTATTCACAAAGTGGCACAAAATCACAATCACGTATAATAAAAACAATGCACAATAGCCCAAAATATTTGGGGTGGCACACACGTTAAAAATACCACACAAGCACTAAATTATACTGGAACAACACAAATCACAAAGGATCATCCAGAAAATGCCGAATAAAAGAATTAACACCGGTAAGAATAATCACAAAGGACCGCCCGATAAAAATTGGGTAATGAGGTACCGCCGATAAAGCTAGTCACATAGGACCTTCGGGGTATAGCTCATAGAGAAAGACTTCTAACCTGAGCACACTCTCTTTCTCTCTTTCTTTCTGAAGAATCATTCGTCTGCTTGTGTTTATATAGCGAGAAAATCTCGCGAGATCGCAGGTAACCGTTATCTCGCAGCAGCGTGAATTTTGATTCATCACATTACCCACGCCTCCGTCCAATGCGTCCCGCATTGCACAAAGTGAAATAACAATAGAATAAAAACAATACAAAATGAATAGGCCTAGCCTCTACAACAACAATCGCTCGCCAATCTCTACCTCCCAATCCGTCTCTACTCTCACCGTCCTCCTCTCTCCATCCTCCGTCATACTCTCTACCTCCACAATCTTCTTATACCTCACCATACAACACTGCTTCCCCGTTTCCCTTGTCTCCACTTCCGTCTCTGTAGCTCTATCCACTTTCCCTCCTTCTTTCTCCTCTACTTCCTCACCATCACCCGACGTTTCCAAAGAGTCTCCACCTGCACTACTCTCTTCACTAATATCACTATATAAAGAGAAATTAAGATTAGGCGCACCACTCAACTCTTTGTCCAGCCTTATCATCCTCAACAAACCACCTTTATCTTCCATTCTAAATCTTTTATCTCTCACAATCATTCTTATCCCCACCATCTATATCTTCATCAACCCTTTTCTCGTCATCTATCTCTCTATTAGCCTTCTTCCCATCATCTATATCGCTGTCATCCTTCGTCTTGTAAGCATCCTTCTTTTTCGCACCATCCTTCTTGTCAACCTTCTTCTCAACAACCTGGTCATCATGCTGGTAATCCTGTCTCCTCTCATCATCCTTCTTCCTCTGGTCCTTCTCCCTCTCATCATCCTTCTTCCCAACGTCCTTCTTCCTCTCGTCCTTCTTACCATCACCACCCTTCTTCTTTTCATCCTTCTTCTCACCATCCTTCTTCTCAT